TACTGCCACACCAGCAGACCCTCCGTGTCCACTACCTGGGGAAGCACTGGCATAGAATGTAAGGGTTCAAGGGTAGCGGTGGGAAACTGAGGCAGAGTCAGCTTTCTGGTAGCCATTAGAACGAAAGGTTTCAGAACATCTCCTCTCTTCTCATAGCAGCACAGCATCTAATCTCTAGGCAGAAGGAAAAGACCCAAATGCCTCCAAGGTTCCCAAGGGCAGAAGCATGGCCAAGGGCTCGAAAGCAAGTCAGGCCAGGGCACAGCACACAGAACATGCTGAGGGCTGGGAGGCCAGAGCCTGGCCCTGGGGCTGGGCGGCCTCCGGCTGTCACTGCCTCACCACTGGCCTCTTTCCTCATGAAGAGGAGTTTGGACCAGATAATCTGCAATTCTAAGAACCCTGCACTTGTCTCAGAAGATAATCTAACGTAACAATAACAAATAGTATTGGAGAACGGGCAAAAACTCTCTTCCTCCACTTGCCCTGGATGGCCAATCTATAGCCTCCGATGCACCTCTGGGTCCTCCAGGGCCCAGAGCACAGAGCCACCTGAGCCTTGGAATGAAGTCTCAAGTCCCCAGAGTGAGTTTGTGGCAGATTAATTCAATTGGCCATTCCCAAATGACCTACTCCACTGTGTGGGACTGGCAGGAGGGAGGAGGCAAGGGAAGGACCACAGACAACACTGACCCACAAAAGCTTTGTTAGGACCCAGGCTTCCATGAGAGCTGGTGCCACTGATTTAGATTATTCTCACACAAGGCAACTCACTGGTTATAAAATAATAATAGCTTCAGTGGGATCAAAGCATATTTTTATACTGGGGCTGGCACCATAGAGAAAGAAACAACAGTGTGAGCAATTCCTTGTGCCAACTCAAAATATTTCTGCATGCAAACACTCCGGCACTTAGACCATAACACCCCCTAAGACAGAAATTTCAGGATGCCTCAGCACATTCCCCAGAGAGTTCCATGATCAATTCAAATGTCCCCCTACACCTACAGAAAAAAGGCTGTTGCCTTTCTACATCCACAGATACAATAAGCTTTTTTGTGTGCATGCATGTGTGTTTTCCTGTGTTGGGAACTGAACCCAGGGCCTTTCGCACGCTGGACGAGTGCTCCACTACTGCTCTCCACATCCCCACCTTACACACTTAGCTGTCTAGTGCCCTTGCCTCATACCCAGTGCCTGTGCTCCAAGTTCTAATCAAAGTATCTTGGCATCAAGCAGGAGCCATCCCCTACCTACCAACGTATTCCCTTGCACCTTGTTTTTTGGATAATTAGACCAAGAAAAGCAAATTACTTCATATTTGCATAAACATTTTAATTTGCAAACCACCCACACATCCATGATCTCATCTCAGCCTTACAACAACCCAATGAGGTAACCTGCTCCCTTTCCCAGTGAGGCATCCCTGGCACTCGGGGCTGTGACAGGGATGGCACAGGCTAAGTGCACACTCAGTGCTGGCCATTTGCTATGGTCCAAATGTGTGTGTTCCCCCCCAAACTGAAATCCCAATTTTCAGCTGGGCACGGTGGTATACACCTATGATCCCAGGGCTCGGGATGCTGAGGCAAGAGAATCCCTGAGAGTTCGAGGCCAGCCTGGGCTACATAGCAAGAGCCTGTCTTAAGAAAAAAACAAATCCCAATTCCCCAGATGACAGTATTAGCACAGGGGGCCTTTGGGAGGTTATTAGGTCATGAAGGCAAAGCCCTCATAAGTGGGGTTAGTGTCCTTATAAAGAAGCCAGAGAAAAGAAACCATCTGTGAGCCAGAAGGTGACCCCTCACCAGACACTGACTCTGCCAACACCTTCCTTCCTCTCTGGCTTCCAGTCTCCAGAACTGTGAGAAATAAAGGGCTGCAGTCCGAAAGCCACCGACTCTATGGCACATTTGCTCTAGCAACCCTAATGGGCTAGGGCACCATAAACACAGCAGATATTTGCCCACTTGAGGAGGGAGAAACAGATTCAGAGGTTGGAGAGCTTGCTGCAGGCAATGAGGCCTCTAGGAACGGGAAGCCAGCTGGGAAGGGAGAAAGCCCAGTGTAGGATTCTTTCCCCTACCCTACAGATACAGGCCTGAACCATTTCCGACTTCACTGCACATTTCCACGAAGGCTCAGCCACACTGCCAGGAAGGCCTGAAAGCCTGGGGCTCTTCCCAGTCCTCTGCTGGCCACACACTAGGGCATGGGTTCTCTGGACCCTTGTGTCTTCTTCGTAATGAAGGCAGACAGGAGGGTTTGTTTGTTTGTTTGTTTTTTGTCTCTATTTTTTCCCCCTAACAAATGTCAAGCTTTCAGACCAAAGGCCCCGTTCCAGGTTACAAAGCGTCGCTCAAATGTGTTGCTGCCAGCTCCCTATCTGCTTCCCAGCTCCTGCTCCCACTGGGCAGATTCTGAAACCGAAGGAGATTAAGTCAAGAGGAGAGAACAGGAGGGACATTCTCTCCTTGAACTTTCTTAAATGGAAAAGAGGAAAAAATGAAAAGAAAGGCCCATTTTCCAAGGAGGGGGCTGGGGCGATGATCTTTCCATTAAGCGGACCTGCATAAGAATCTATAGATTATTTATGCCGGGGGTGGCTGTGGCGCAAAATAAAGGAATCTTTGTACAACACTCGCCACAGTTCCCTCACTCTTTTCCCAGTTGGGCATTTCACCCAGCTCCCTAAATCATCAAGCTCTAATGCACCCCATCTGTGCACTGGCTACGGCCAATGAAACCAAAGCCTCTGCTGACTTTGGCCTGGACTTGTGAATGAGCCTTTCTGCACTAATAGGGTGCAGAACAGGAGGCCAATCAAGTCTTTTTTGCTCACTGCTTGTCTTTTCACTCATTGCTTGTCTTTTCCTAGGCTCCAGCTCCATCTGATCTCTTGTCACAGTCAAGTTCTGATCTGGAGACATGGCCCACAGATATGAAGGAGCTCTGAAAAGGGTGAGGGAGTGACACTCTCAGCAGAGGCCCGGAGGCCTGAGATGCCCTTACCTGCACATTCAGGGAACAGGGCTTGGTTCCAAGTGGCTGAACAAAGTGAGGACGTGTCAGGAGACCTAGCTCAGAAGCTAAGCTCTGCAAGACTGTCAAAGGCCCTGCATACCAGGTCAGACAGATATGACAAACTTTGAAGGCCATTACCACCACTATATGCTCAACTTCTATCCACGTTACAAGGCCCGGCTCAAATAACCACCTCTTCCAGAAATCCTCCCTGAATACCTGCTCCAAGTAAAAATTCTCTTTACTAATTTGACATTCTGGACAATGAGTCTCAGTTTCTCCATCAGTGTAAAATACAACTAACCTCCTACCTTAAGGATTTCTTATAAGCGTTAAGTGAGATAGCATTTTTTGTGTCAAGTAGCAGTTTGTAGTATACAGAAGATGCTGAATACACTATTGACACCTCAATTTTTTACGGTACACAGAACGTCTTCCTTGCATTAAAAAGATGTCTTGGCTTCGCCCATTAGATATGTGCAAACATGTTCTTTGGAGATTTCCAATTTTAAAAAAAGGAAAATTCACAATTCTCTTCCAAGTTTGCAGGTCTATTTCCAGTGCCCAGAGAACTGGTTACTCTTTTCTCAGACAGAGCCTCTCACAGCCAAATTTCCAGATAAGAGGTGCCCCCTCCACCAAATTAAACAGGAATCTAAGACAAGATGGGTTAGCTGATAAAGGAGCTGGGTTGGCTGAAACATAAATAGCATAAAGAATGATTTTCAAAAGTGCAGAGAAGGGAAAGTGGGGCACAGTGAAAGTTCAGCCAGGAATTTGAGGGCTCCAGACAGCTTGGAACTCTGCACCCTGGAACAGGCCTACAGCAGGCCATTCAGTCCTCAGGTTTGATTTGAGAGCCCTGACTACCAGACTTCCTGTGTCAAATCGGCCAGCTGGACGGGAATGCCCTACACCTAGTGACCGGGCCATACTCCCTCTCTGGTGGAGGCTACCAAACCAGAGGCAAAGAAAGCAAAACACCTTTTCTAGCATTTCTTATAAATAGGTCATATCTTAATCCAGGTCTGCATAAAAGTTTTTCCTTTAATGGCATGAAAGATGCTGTTTAAGGGAAAAATCTCCCATGATCTTTTTCTCTTTGTCATGCAGCCTAGTAAAACCAGTTTCTCCTCCCCGGGGAACCTAGGGCCAGGAGGGAGGAAGCTCCCCAGAGAATGAAGCTTGAAGTATCCAGTTCCTGGATTGCACAACTGAAATGCTGGGTTTATTTCTTAGTAACCCCCAGCCTCAATTTTACAAGCAGTTGCTGAGGCTCCTAAGGGAAGAAACAGGGCTCTGTTCTTCTGATTATGACCAAATGTCACTCCACATTACCTCATGGAAGAGCCCTAAAGGTCCTCTCGGGCCAGTGGGTCAATTCCTCAACAGGCCACTTCTGTTCCTCCCCAAAGGCCACTGGTTTTGGTCATGCTCTCCCTGGGGCTTGCCAAGGGCTCTCTGGTCTTAGCTAATAAACCCTCCAAAATGGACTAGGCACGAAGCTAGTCATAGAGCCCTTGCCCAGAACAAGGAAGGCCCTGACTTCAATCCTCATGCTGCAAACCAAAACAACAAACGAACCCTCTACAAGACCCTACCGCTCTTCAAATTCATTTTCCAAACAGAAAACCCTCTTCACAGAATTCTTCTGCCAACCTAAACCAAGCAAGCCGAGCATAAGGCTCCAATCATTCCTTAGCTCCTCCTTTTTCTGGTCTGCAAGCTGCCAGCCCCCAAAGCTTCCCACGGATGATCTCTCATTTCCAAGACAACAAAGTAAACCACCACCCTGGCCCTACAGCTCATGGTTGCTTCTCAGTTAAGTGAGACAGGCATGCAGGCCAGCTGTCCCTGTTCATGAGATGGGGTACAATATATCCTGGTCTCAGGAGAGCTTACAAAACTCTGCAACCTCAACAGCCATAAGTGCCTTCCCCAGGGGTAGGCAGGAAAGGTATGCAGGGAGCATGTACCTTGGAAATTAGTTCATCATGATTGGCCAGGTGAGCCCTGCAGTGAATGCAGCTGTAGGTCCGGTGGCAGGAGGGCAGATATGCCTGGAAAGTCTTGGATCTTGTCATCTTCACCATTGGCGCCACTGAGCGTGGGGTGAACTCTGGGGCCGCCCACGAGGCACTCCCACAGGATGGGTCGCACGGGAAACACCGGAAGACACAGGTAAAGGCCGTGGTTTGGCAGGGGGTGGGGTGTGGGGCAGGCTCCACACACTGGTGACGTCTTCAGAGCAAGGACCCTCACGCAGAGGTCTAGGGCTAGTTCTCAGCAGCCTGTGGTGCCAAGGTAAGGGAAACAGCATTAGTGAATGGAGCGAGTCTTCCTCTAAAACAAGCAGAGTCCATCTGTCACCCAGAGGCAGCAGGAGTTGACCTCCTTTCATCTGTTTCTTATACCATGCCCAGGCTGCCCAATAGATGACTTTTCTAGAGTTGGAGATTCGGTATCAGCTCAGCAGTTTCAGTAGCTACCCAGGTACCTAGCAAACTGCTATGATCACCATCCCAGGCAATGACCCGGACTGAAGATGGCTACAAACGACCACCAGGGAGAGTACCTTGGAGGACACACCCACCCCACACCCAGTTGATGGAAAAAAGCGCACCTCTAGCTATTCACTGCATCCAGTATTCACAATCAGATTCCCATCCATTTCCAGATGCTGGGAGAGCCCCAGCACCTGAAGCCACCATCTGCCTGTGCAGCCAGCAAACCCCACACCAGCCATGCCTAGGGACTGAGCACAGGATGTAAAGGATCAACGTCTCCATCAGCAGGACCCCTACAGGCTAGCCAGTGTGTTTGGGAGAAGTGATTCCCTTTGCAATATCTTGCTCAAAAACTCCTGCCCAGCACGTTTTTCTAAAAAAGGTTAGTAAATGAATGAAATTGATGGTCTATACAGCCTCCTATGATGGAAAAATCACAAGGAGAGTGAATTTTCCCAGAATTTCTCCCCAACCCTCAGATTTCCCATACATACCACCCAATACCAAACACCTCTAGCACCCCCTTAGCTCTCTTATTCTGAGGGACCTATAGACACTGAGAAAGCAGGGTGTCTCCCAGAGTAACCAAATGAGCAAGTTAAGTCCAAGGAAAGGTCTGAGGGCAGGGCCCTGAGGCTGCAGATGCGCTCTGCTTTTCGGCTTGCCTAGCTTTTTGGCTCACCTAGCTGGAGCTCTGGCACCCGTCTATTCTCGGGACTTCACTAATGGGGGTGGTGTTCCCACTTGCCTACCTCCCCAGAGAGCCCTGATTGTTAATTAACACCTGCATCATGCTTTGAAGATAAAATTATTTAGAGGCAGGGAAGGAAAAAAACAAAATCAGATCTTCTTTGCTGCATTATGTCTGGGATCTATCCATCTGTGCATTTAAGAGACAGCCTGCAAACCAGTCTTCCTTCTGCTCTAACCTCACTGAAACTAACTCCTAGAAAGGGAAGCTACTTGGGGCAAGTGGTGTGGCTCAGTGGTAGCACACCTGCCTAGCATGCATGAGGCCTGGGTTCAAGTCTCCATACTGAAAAAACAAAAATAATAAAACCAACAAAAACACTCAGGTCTAAAGAGCGCAGTTAAATCCCCATCAGTTCAACAGGCCAAGTGCAGTGGTGCATATGGGTAATCCCAGCACCCGGAAGGCTGAAGCAGGAGGATGGCTGTGAGTTTGAGGCCAGCCTGGGCTATGTAGTGAGTCTAAGGCCAGCCTGAACTACATAGCAAGACCCTATCTCAAAAGGAAAAACAAAAAACAAACAAGCAAACAAACACCAAAAAACCCACATCATTTCATCAGATTTATCAAAGAGACGCCACTCGCCTCCTGGCACCCTTCCCCACCCCCTGCCCCCCCGCCAGGCCCTGTAGCCATCATACTCCTAGGACTCTGGGTATCTTTGTGTGGCAACACTACTGCCAAGTCCTGGGCTCCAAGACAACAGTGGTCACTAGGCCTCACCCTACTGAGAATATGCCCCTTCTGCAGCCCTGAGCCAAATAGGCTCCGTACCCAAGGTGACCAATTATATGTGAGGTGCTGTAGGGATTCAGACCTACAGGGACCAGGGCATAAAGCCATCCCTGCTCCGTCTTTCCCTACTATCCTTAAAGATGTGAAATCAGGTTAAACTGAACATTATAGAAATGCTTGAAGGACACGGAGGGGAGAAATGACTGCCTCCCTCAGCTTTACCTCAGAGTGAACAGGACACAGGGAACGAAGAAACATGGACCCTTGGACCAGAGCCCCCTCATCAGATACTCAACATCTCCAGAATGGGGGACCGGGGGACTAACAGCCCACAGTGACCACAGCTATGGGATGCTGAAGGGTTACAGGTGGTAGCAAGAGCCAGGCACCCCACTGGGGTTTCCTGAATACCCTCAAGCTTTCCATGCTCCTGTTCCCCTGTCAGGCAGGAAGGAGACTTTCTGGGAAGGGGAGGGCTGGTGAGCTAGGGAAAGAGGGGTAGGGGAAAGTAAGCAGGAGCTCCCCTGGGGCCAAACACTTCTGAAGGCCAGGCCCTAGCTGCCCTGTAGGGAGCCAAAGAAGCACTGGGCCATCCTTTTACACAAACACCCAGGGAAGAAAGGGAAACAATGACCCTGGCTGCCTCCCCACAATCACAGGGCAGCTACAGAGTCTGTTTTCTTATGCATGCAGACAGCTTTTAAATTATGCATTTCCCTGGAGTACAATTATTTCTTTTCTCACTTCTCTTCTGCAGGAAACCCAAAAAAAGTTCACAGGCAGGTTTCTGGTTATTCTCAGCTTCAAATCCAAATCCCCAAACTTACTTGGTTACCTTCTGCAGAACAGGCATTTACAGTCCGTATTAAATGTCAGTATGTCACAAACACACAGTCATGCACACACATTCGTTCCTCACTATGGCTCTGAGCATAAGAAGACAAGAGAAAACCAACTTGTGAGCCACGGCCCAGCCCGGGCTGGCTGGTGCTAGAGAACCCTGCAAAGCTGAGCCCACAGGCACTCACAGTGGCTACAAAGGACTCACTCTGGCCCTCTTGTTCCTTAATGTGAATTCACAGGCCTCCAACAGAGGTGACTCCTTCCTTAGAGGAGAGAAAAGAAAAAGGGACTTGCTGAAAATGCAGCTTGGACAACAGGTCCAGGACAAGCTGGAAGGAATGAGAAGGGTGAAGGGGCAGGAAGGGAAAGCAGGCTGGCTAAGAGAAAAGATGAGCGCCCAGGCAGGAGAAGTCATCACCTAGTGCTGTCTTCCCCCTTTTTTGCTTTTTTTTGAGACAAAGAAGGTCTCATTATGTCGATCAGGCTGGCTTTGAACTCACTGAGGAGCCAGGCTGGCCTCGAACTTTCGGTGATCCTCCTGCCTCACCCTCCTGAGTGCTGGGATTATAGGCATTGCCACCACACCCAGGTGTCTCCCTTTTAACAGAAAATTTTAAAATTTAATTCTTAGAAAGAAAAACAAAATAGGTGGATTTTCTACAAAGGAGGGAATTCAAGGTCTGGGCTGCAGACCTCACCATCACCTTTTAATTTTTGGATTTTGGTCCCTGTTAATAGAGTCACGGGGTCCATGGTTTCATGAGTCTAACTCACTGAGCATTTTGTAGAGTCCAAGCTGATTTCCAACAATAATCAAATGTGCTCTATATTTAAAAGCCTCAGGGCACATGTATAAATTAAATAGTATTTTAAGTGAACTAATAATCCATCACAGTAGAAATTAAAGGAAGATTTGCTACCATCCCCACCCAGCTGGCTCACGCTGCCCAGCATGGAAAGATGTGAAATATTATGATTAAAAACAAAGATCTCAGATATACCACATTGAGAGCCAAATGCATAGGGAGTGCATGCCAAACCCGACTGCCCCACCTGACAGGCGGCCCTGTAACACCAGGAATCACAGCGATGCCGGAACTCAGGCCCCAAGCTTCTGAGCGTCACTAGGAGGGAAGGGAAGCTGGTCCGCACTGTTTAGCTACGCCATGAAGAACGTGAGGAGTGAAGTGGATGCAGGCTGGACAGACGGACACACACACACACACACACACACACACACACACACACACACACACAC